TTTGATGAAACGCCAAAGTTTCCGAGCTTCGCGCGGGTGGGGAAATTTTTTTAGACGAGTCGAGAACGGTTCAACGAATCGTCTTCTTTCTCTCATAATTTAAGGAAACGTCAAAGCTACCGCGCTTCGCGCAAGAGGGGGAGGGGGAGGGGACTGAATTCAGATAAATAGAGCTTATTAATAAGAGTCGAAAACGGTGCAACGAATCGTCTTCTTTCTATAATAATTAAATCAAACGTCTAAGCTTTCGCGCTAAAGGGGGAAACTGAATTCAGACAATTAGGGCTTATTAAGAGTCGAATACGGTATAACGAATCTCTAATAATTGAATGAAACGTCAAAACTTCCGCGCTTTGCGCGGGAGCGGGAAATTTCATTCAGACAAGGATTAAGACTCGAGCACGGTTCAACGAATCGTCTGCTTTCTCTCATAATTTAAGGAAACGTCAAAGCTTCCGCGCTTCGCGCAAGAGGGGAAACTGAATTCAGATAAATAGAGCTTATTAACAAGAGTCGAAAACGGTGCAACGAATCGTCTTTTTCTATAATAATAAAATCAAATGTCTCAGCTTTTCGCGCTGCAACTGAATTCAGACAAGAATTAAGAGTCGAAAACAGTACAACAAATCGTCTGCTTTCTCTAATAATTTAAGGAAACGTCAAAGCTTCCGCGCTTCGCGCTTAAGGGGGAAATTGAATTCAGACAAAATAATAGGGCTTATTAAGAGTCGAAAACGGTATAACGAATCTCTAATAATTGAATGAAACGTCAAAACTTCCGCGCTTTGCGCGGGAGGGGGAAATTTCATTCAAACAAGGATAAAGACTCAAGCACGGTTCAACGAATCGTCTACTTTCTCTAATAATTTAATGAAACGTAAAAACTTCCGCGCTTCGCTTGGGAGGGGGGAAACTGAATTCAGATACTGATTTAGCGTCGAGAACAGTTGGCCGACACCGAATCGTCTGCTTTTTCTCATAATTTAATGATACGCCAAAGGGGTAGGGTGAGAAACTGAATTCAGACAAGGATTAAGAGTCGAGCACTTCATGTTCAACGAATCGTCTACTTTCTCTAATAATTTAATGAAACGCCATAACTTCCGCGCTTCGCGCGGGAGAGGGAGAACCGAATTCAGATAAAGATTAAGATGAATTCAGATAAGGATTAAGAGTCGAGAACAGTACACCGAATCGTCTGCTTTTTCTCATAATTTATGAAACGTCTAAAGCTTCTGCGCTTCGCGCGGGAGGGCCGGAGGGGGAGAAACTGAATTTAGACAAGGATTAAGAGTCGAGCACGGTTCAACGAATCGTCTACTTTCTAATAATTTAATGAAACGCCAAAACTTCCGCGCTTCGCGCGGGAGGGTCAGAACTGAATTCAGATAAGGATTAAGAGTCGAGAACAGAACACCGAATCGTCTGCTTTTTCTCATAATTTAATGAAACGTCAAAGCTTCCGCGCTTTGCGCGGGAGGGGGAGAAACTGAATTCAGACAAGGATTAACTTCGAATGTTTCCAAGCATTGAATTTTGATAACCTTTTCGAAGCAAAGTTTCAACTTTACAATAATGAAAATAAAGTTATTTTTTTAAATCAATTGGCGCAGATAGTCCTCGAAGGGTAGAAGGAGAGTACGTGGAGTGAATATATTAACATCAGACGGGGAGTCAGACAGGGTTGTGTTATGTCGCCGGACCTGTTCAATATCGGTATAGTGAAATCATTCTAAGAGAATTGGAGGATGAAAATGGGATACAAGTGGGTGGCCATTCAATCACAAATATCAGATATGCTGATGACACTGTTTTATTTTCTGAATCAGAGAGATCTCTAGAGACTCCTGAATGTAGTTGTAAAAGAGAGTGAGAGAATGGGACTAGAAATTAACTTTACCAAGACAAAGTGCCTGGTGGTCTCCAAGAAGAGCAGTCCAAAATGTAACTTGAAACTGAAAGAACAGATTATTAAACAAGTCTCCTCATTTAACTACCTCGGTAGCATGATCACCGAGGATGCCAGATGTGAGACAGAGAACAAAAGAAGGATAGCTCTCGCTAAGTCTGCATTTTCAAAGTTAGGCAAAATTCTGACAAATCGAACAATGAGTATGAGGACCAGAATAAGAGTATTGAATTGTTACATCTACCCAGTACTCATGTATGGTAGTGAAACATGGACTTTAGCCTCTGACACTAAAAAGCGTTTGGAAAGTTGCGAATTAAGAAGAATGATGAAAATCCCCTGGACTGCATGACAAAGTTAGTAATGAGGAAGTTCTTACACGAGCTGGAGTGCAAAGGAAAGTGATACGTGAGATGTTGATTAGGCAGTTGAAGTTCATGGGTAACATTACACGTAAAGAAGGCCTAGAGAATCTTGCTTTGACAGGGAAAATTGTGGGAAGAAGGAGTAGGGGAAGAAGGAGGATACTTCGGATGGACAGTCTGCAGAAATTGTTGGAAGGGTGAGAGGAGTGAAAGAACAGGGAGTGGTACTAATACAGAAGGCTAGGAGCCGAGGGTTGTGGAACAGCATGATCGCCAAAGTCAAACGATGTGGCACTTATAGAGATCGAGAGAGTCCTCAAAGATCAAGATTGAAGAGCGCCATCTTCATCTCAACAACGACGAACAACAACAACAAAATCTAGCGACAAGTGGTCTACAAGAAAGTAAGTAATAATTTAAAGTCTCTTGTCGGGAAAGTTGTAGCTAGCTCATCTAATCTTAGCTTAGTGGGCAAGTCGACCAACAGCGTCGGGATGTCATTGATCTTGTCATTTTGATTGTTTTACCATGGACCTACTACGAAACAATCCCCAGCCCAGACGGTAAAGACTAAGAATGCTAAGGGCGGTCAAACCCCACATACTGTTATTCGTGTATGGCTGCAGATGCAAGTCCATTGCCAGGGCCAGGCGCAGGCTGTGTCTATTTTATCTGTTTATCAGTGCCCACTAATGCGTCGCAGAGTTTATTTCGACGTCTTGGGAGAGGCTTTTTGATTTTACGGCTGTAATTAGCTACGAAAGCTTGGAGAAAGGTCACAAACAATTAGAGTAGGGTGTCTGATCGCGCACCCAATGTTGTGTGCTAAAACCCTTCCCATAGAGATTGTACGCTTCCCTATGTGGTCTACGTGCATTGCGCGACCATCCAAAATTGGTCAATGATTTTATGAAAAAATTTGAAATTCAAACCTTTATAACAAATGATCCTGAAGGTGAAACTCAATAAATGAGGTGTCATATGAAAGAGCAGGTTTTTCTCCATATTCCCCATAGGGGGCCACCCCCAGAATTCTAAAAATATCTTGGTCAAAACAGCGATTGAAATGTTGTTTGCATCCTAGCTCCAAAATTTGCCACTTTCCTGAGCTGCGCCCCCGCGGCTTAAGCAGGGCTAGACGTAAGGATAATATCCAGATGCTTTTTTTTTCGCTAGCCCCAAGGGATCATTTGTTATAACAGTTTGAAAATACCCTTCCCACATTTTTGGAATCGGCTAATTAGGGAGGCGTGAGCTCCGCTCAGTCCAAACCATGGTTACATCGTAACATGTGCGCTTATAGTGAATGAAAGTATGGGTGGCCGATTCTCGCCATAGAACCCGGAAGTGAATACACGTTGTAGTCAATGGCAATATCGCGGAGACCACCCATACTAGTCAATGGCACATATCGCGGAGACAGCGTGGCTCAAGCTTGCAAGTCGCGCATTGGCTGAGCAACTTGCGTACGATATGCATACGCTTGCATATCGCGCGATACAGCTGTTTGGCTAAATTTAGCAAAACAACATAACTCTGCGTGTACGTCTTTTTCGTCGATTCTGAGCAAAATGCTATGAATATTTCAGCATTTTGAAGGGGCTGTATCTTTTGATAGAAACATCGGCGAGACTTGAAATTTGAAATGTATTATTCTGATTACATTTTTAATTCAAATATCAAACAAAAATGGTGAAAAACGATCCCAAATTGAAAATTGAAAAATTGTTCAGACACCCTAATTAGAGTTCCATTAGTCTAGATCTATCTAGATCCTAGATCTATTGCTTTGCCTCAGATAGGCTAAAGTCTAACGTTAGGCCCTAAAGCGGATTAAAGGCAAAAAATAGAACGGCGCTAGTTCAGAAGTCTATCTTAGTTCTAGCCAAAATTTGACCTGTAACTCCGGCATGGAGATACCCTACTAAAACATACCCAAAAGGAAGTAAATATTCATCAAATGTCCAAATAAAGGTCTGATAAGGTCATGATTTAAAAGTCAATAGGCTATGTTTGTTACCTGTTTCGTGTCGATTTTCTTATCTTTTTCAGAGTAGGTCTATTTTTCCTAAAAACAAAGACACTTTCTCATGGCAAACTGCAGCACAATACAATTGCATACTGTACCGACGGTAGGGTGCGCGCGCGCGCGTGTTCACTTAGCGACTGTAAAATCAGATTATACCGCACCCCATGCATACGGTATGTAATTGTATTGTGCTGCAGTTTGCCGCGCCGTGAATCAAGAGCATATTATAAGTCTTTGTTTTTTAGGAAAAATACTCTGAAAAAGATAAGAAAAAGATTGCTGTCATTTTGTACTTTTAGATTTAAATTTGGTTATATTCATCATCATCATCATCAACTTCTACATGTATGGGAGTGACGTAATCTTGTAGATCTCCCGGTCGTCTTCCAACTATCAAGATATAAGTTCAATTGACAGTTTGCCACTTAAGCGGAGTGCAGAATGCGTGGAAGTCAGGTTACATTAAATTGTTTGGCAAGCCGGTGTTTTTCTAAACCAGTCTAAAAAATATCTATGGTTTGTGCTATAATGTGCAGTGACTAGAGATTCTTGCAGTTTATTCCATAGCTCGATAACACGTCTGACACTAAGCTTGCCGTGAGTATTAAAAAGTTTAAACGGATGTCCACGAGTGAATCGGTACTCTGGTCTCTTGAAAATATGTTCTGGACTGAGTCTGTCAATACCATGAAATATTTTATAACCCTGGATTATATCAGCCCTCTCACGTCGGTAGTGAAGTGAGAATAGATTTACTTTTGAAGCCTTTCAGAGTTTCAGGATAGGATAATAAACTCATACCTAGAATCATTGTTGTTGCTCTCCATTGCACAGCTTCAATCTTGTGGTCATCTGCCATGAAATGGGGATTCCATGAAACCGTACAATATTCAAGATGTGGGCGTACCAGGGTTTTGTACAGAGGTATGAAGATGTCCTGGTTGGTATTGACAAAAGTTCTTTTGATGATCCTCAACATCTGGTTTGCCTTTTGTATCATAGCTGTGATATGTTTCCAGGAAAGTCAGATCCTTGTCAACTAAAACCCCCAGATCTCTTTCTATATAATAATAATAATACACAATATTTATAAGGCGCTTAATACTGGTGTCTCTAAGCGCACCATATCAACATTCTCCAGACTCCAGAGGTCTACCTTCCATAACATTTGTCTGTTGAGGGTTGTTGTAACCTAGATGAAGGGTTTTACACTTTTGAGAGTTTAGAGAAAGTTGCCACTTAGACGACCAAGCAGATATGCTGTCTTAGTCACGTTGCAGTTGATGGCACGAAGTCTGACATTGGATAGGTGAATAAACTTTGGCATCATCTGCGTACAACTGAGTGCAGCTGCCTGGTTGGGACATCAGGTAAATCATTGACAAACATCACAAAAAGGGTTGGTCCGAGGACACTGCCTTGCGAGATATGGCACTAATGACGTCGGTCCACTCGGAATAACATCCATCAACTGATACTCTTTGAACCCTTTGTGACAAGAAATCTTGAATCATTAAAAAAAGTGGACCACTTATTCCTTAGGATGTTACCTTGTTTATAAGTCTAACATGTGGCACAGAGTCGAATGCCCGTTTAAAGGCCAAATACACAACATCAACAGGATTCCAATTGTCTAAGTAGCCGGTCCAATCTTCTAGCTGAGTAAGCAGTTCAGTGGAACATGACCTTCCAGGAATAAAACCATGTTGAGCGTCAGTAAAAAGTTTATACATGCTCATGGGACTTACAATAGTGTCTCGAAAAATAGACTCCATTATTTTAACTCCTACTGCCGTCAGACTGATGGGGCAGTAATTTTCTGGATCCTTTCTACTGCCTTTCTTGTGTTTAGCAGTAATATTGGCAGATTTCCAGTTTAGGGGTAGCACAGATTCAGTGAGCAAAATTAAAACCAACCTCACCTTAGGCCTGATATCAAAATTTCCAATGATCTAATGCTCACAACTCCTATTGAAGGAAATCTCACAGGGTATATGTGTATAAGTTGTCCAATGTTTATGTACAAATGTATGTTGATTAACTTATTCATAAAACAAGTGAATTGCCAAGGGACAATTGACAGCTATGTCAAATGACCAATATAAAAATAGGGTCTAATTTTTATCTAACAGATCTTAATCTAACTAGCCTTAGACATTGAGTTAACTTTCAGGTAACAATTATGTTCAAAAATCATTTCATTATGTTGAAATATGTTTATAAGGACATACTTTCGGCCAAGAAATTCTGTAGACTAAAATCTTGATTGAAAGAGCGGTTGGAGACCAATGCAACAGACCCTGAAAATCAAATGAATCGCAATGTGTACATGGCATGGTGCAGCGTTATACTAGTGAAGAGATTCAAGAGAGAAAGCTGATGCTCTATGAACCGGAGCAAAAAGATTGCTGTGTCCCCATGACATGGCCAAATGTTGAGATTATGTGTGTCTGTACTATAAAAGTGTTACCATGCAATCTGATTATTCCCTATATCACTAAATTTCATTTTATTCTCCCTGTCCAGTCTGCATGCGGTTAGACCGACTTCAAGATCGGACATGATGAACATTGCTTAAGATCCCTGATACTAGTACTACGTTCTAACTCTGGGATTCACCCTACCTACATGTAGTACTTGTGGTCCATCGCACTCGGATCAGCTGTCCCTCCATGAATCTGAATATAATGTGACAAGATGGCTGCTGGAAAGCATCTTATCCTCGCCACCATCGTTGAAGTTCTTCCTGGTCAGTTGACCTATCCAGCATGTGTCACCTGTTACACAAAACTTCATCGTCTCGGCAGTTCAGATCAGTAAGTAAAGCTCTTTTCTTTACTCTCTATATTGTGTATTTTATTGCTGTTTCATGTCTTTGGGCACTTTTAGAAACCTGGGGGATGTTTCACAAAGATCCTAAGTTGAATATATCTCTAAGCTGGACTTAACAATTATGAAAAGCCGTTACCATCTTTGAAAATATTTTGTAAAAGTTATTTTAAAAAGCATAAAATGTTAATTCAAATCATTCATATTTTTTATTATCAAGGAGATTTCATGTTCTGGATGTGGAATTTATGAAAAGTCTAAAATACTTTGCTTTTGAATATATTTCATTTCAAGGCTCAGTACAAATGGCTCTCCATAATATTTAAGTCCAACTTAGAGTTAAGTTCGACTTATGATCTTTGTGAAACACCCCCCAGCGCTAATAATAATAACCATCTCGTGCAGTAGACAACCCATGACTGAACATATTCAAGACAAAAGTCAAGAAACTTGGGGCATGCAGAAAAGAGCTCAGTGAAGTCTAGAACTCAATTTTCTTCATCAACTGCCTTTCACATAGAATGTAATGTTAAAGACCCTATCTAATGAATATACAACTTTGTCAATGAAAAGATGAATAAGTGTAGAATAGAAATATAAGGGAATGACACATATTATCCTTTTCAATATTCATTGCACAAAAGCAAATTAACACCTCATTTTCTGCAGCCCTCCAAATTACGGCTCTCCTATTTAGCTGAGGTGATGAGCCATGTAATACAAAGTTTTGGGAAATATTGAAAATTGGGTGGATAGTGATTCTTTACAATATTGATATATTTGGATGCCCCTGTGGATGTATTATAAGCACAAGAAATTTTAGCCCTTAAAACCCTACTGCTTTCGAGAAAAATTGAATATAACAATTTACCGGTGCTCCCGGTAAATTTTGATAAATTTCAAATAGCGCCCACGGCCGTACAATGGTAGCTGCGACCATGAAAATCTCAGAATATTTAGTTGAGATATATAATTTCCAAACGGGAAGAGCTAATCGGTCGATTTTAGTCAAGACACATTTTTTTTGTTGGTTAATTAATATCTTGACCTTGAGAGGGAGCTATTCATTATAAAGAGTTAATTATTTACAATTTCATAACTTTAGACTCGATTTCAACCGCAACAACGATCACTGAATATGGTAGGATCGCATATGCTTCCAATATGTTAATTTGAACCAAATTCATGACCCCATACCAAAATTTTGTAATACCTTTAAGGCAAAGTCATTGGGTGGTATTCTCGAAAGCGGCCTAAGTTAAACCTGGCCTAAGTTAAACCGTGGTTTAGTTAGGCCAGGCTTAACTTAGGCCGCTGACCTAAGTCATTTTCATTTCTCGAAAGGTGGCCTAACTGATCCATGGTTTAAACCTGGCCTAACTTAGTCCATGGATTATTCACCATGGTTACGGTTTCTGCACATGCTCAGTACCGAAGCTGCGACGTCACAATGCACTAGGACAAAGGGCTAAGACAATGGATGCGCGCAGTGTGGAGAGGATGCATCACCTCGACAACTTGAGCAATATGACGTCACAATGCACTAAGACAATGGGCTAAGACAATGGATGCGCGGCTGCGCGCAGTGTGGAGAGGATGCATCACCTCGACAACTTGAGCAATATGACGTCCAGGACGGCGGAGCGACTTCCAAAGCGGGGGGCAGCACCAACAAAAAGGGCACTTGCTGGAATTGTATCATTGTTAAAAGAGAAATTATCAGAGGTGAAAAGGGTCACATATCGCACCTGAAAAGGGGCATTGAACATATTTTAAAAGGGGCACTTATGAGAATGAAAAAGAGGCACTTATAATAAAGGAAATGTGCATTTGTTGAAAGAAAAGGGGCACCGATAATTTTGTTAATAGGGGCACCTCTCAGATTTAAATAGGGCAATTATCAAAGGTGAAGGGGCACTTCTCAAAAGTGAAAAGGGGCACTTATTGCAAAGGAAATGGAAACTTGTCAAAGGAAAAGGGGCCCGTGTCAAAATTAAAGGAGCACTTATCAGAGGTGAAAAGGGGAAGGGGCACTTTACCTATGGAAAAAGGGGCACTTCTTACAAAGTTAAAAGGGAACTTTCCTATATAAAAAGGGGCATTTGAAAAAGGGGGCACTGTACCCCCCCCCCCCCCCCAACTCTTTCTTCCTATCTCCATCTCTCTCTCTCTCACACACATATACTATCTCACATCATTGTTTATTTCTCTCACCATTAAATTGTTCTTTCTCATTTGGTTCCCTTTCTCTTTTACTCTATCTCTCTCTCTCGCTCGCTCTCTGTTCTCTCACTGCTCTATTTCAAGACTTTTTCCATGTATAATTCGATGAACCCAACAGTATGCACACTTACAATCAAAAGATATGAAAGGAATATTGTATATAACATATCAACAATTATGTTCAATTTATTTATTTTTCTTAAAACAGAAAAGATTGTAATTCACGATGAATACGATTATAAAATTGAAGGTCAAATATTAAGCTCCAATAGCCTCATAATCTGCTACTTAAAATTATTAGAATTAAATGTTATGTATTCGTTACACTAATTTCTCCCATTTTTTTAAAACAAAGCTTAGTCTACTTTTGAGCCGTGTTTCTTTTGCAGGGAATCTGTTATATCATGACTTGCACTATATTATAAAACTCGTTATAAAACATGATTTCTTAAATGATTCAAAATCACAATTTTTCCAGTGAAACAATGAACATCTGATGTACATAAAAACATCCTTATGAGTGATGGTTGCTTTGTGGTTCACACACACAACAAGGACATATCAGGCTTTTTATCAATGGTTGCTTGTTTGTTACCATAGCTTCATGTTATGAGGATTATAATACACAGGTTTGATCCCCATGCAGTCACAGTTACAGCAGATGGAGTCTGGTTCATTGAAGAGGCTAAGTAGAACTTCATAGTCCTTGCAAGTATGTCTGTTGAATGAAAAGAGAAAAGAATGAAAGGAAGCACATTGAAACCTATTTCTGTTAAACATTAAAAAGGTCTTGCATGTACATTGTGGTAAAAGTGGAGTGCATATTAATCAATTACATGAAAGTATTGATGGAAAAATGTGAATGAACAAATGCCATCCTTGAAGTACCTGGGCATACAAACAACAACTTATTCGTACAGCCTACCTGTCAGAAATTCAGCAGCTCAGTAGTTCTCCTTCCTCTCTCTGAATTTGTCTCAGTTATCAGGGAATTTGCCTTCATTTATTTTACTGAAGAAAAACATCATCCTGAAACAAAAATAAAAAGGTTTAGACCTCATTAAAATATCAAAGATCTACTCCATTGATAATTGGTCTTAGATATAGTGTCAAAAATATTCTAACTTTAAAAAAAAAACTTAAGGCGCCTTTCATGTAGGCAGTGACTAGGCACCCCCTCCCCACTCAGTTACTAGTAATCATTGATTTACAGAATGACTACCGGTATCTCTTTTAAAGTCAAGAACAAACATACACATTCTTGCAGTACTATCTCATAAATGTGCTTGCACCAAGTTGTACTTGCCATGTCATGGCCTAAGAAAGCCCTAAGTAGTTAAAGTCTATAGCGAAGTTAGTCCCTTTCCTGAAATCAAGTCTACATCTTACTTAGATAACGAGCCGACAGTTGGCCTAACCTAGATGTAAACGCAGCCTGGAATGGAGATTTTACAAGGCCCTATTCGTTAGAGCCCAACTTTTTCCATTTCAGTTCAATCTAACATTAAACCAAAGATTGTCTTTGTTTATGTTATCTCCCAAAATGAGCTTCGTGAAAGGGGAAAAAGTAAAAATAAAATTTACTGCACTGTACTGTAGTCTGTAGGTCTCTAAGTCTTATTTGTTCCAGAATTGTTAGTGGTAGGTTTGAATTTTCTTCTGACCCAAATTTGAAAGTAGTTATTCAACTGTTGATTATTTGTGTCTTATTTTCAGATAGTTTCGCCCAAAAGTCTAGGCCAAGCTGTCACTGCATGTCAGGAATGACTGGTAGCCATGGCAATCGAGCTGAAATATTAGCTCGTGCCCATGTAAAATGAATAAAAGTTTGAGTGTAGGTTGCACCTACATTTATCAGACAAAACAATTTTAAATCACTTCATAATGTACCTGTAGACACATCTGCAGATTCATAAATTCAGCAGATCTTTTTAATACAAATTGTATAAACATGATTTAGTTTACAAAATTTAGGCGTAATTACAGCTTTACTCACCAGCAGACTTTCCAAGAAAATGGAGTATCTATTTTTTCCTGTTCAGGAAATAACTGGTGTTGGGCCAACTGGCTTGGAGATGCCTATGTGGGTGCAATCAATAGCACCGACCATATTAACGCCAGGGAAATGGCAGTAATTATACAATTCATGTTGGGTCTGCACTCTGCAGGACTGCCTCTCTTGCTGAAGGAATTGTGATGTATTGCTCCCATCTCCTGGCAATGGCTATTGAGATGGACTTCACAAGGCTGGACACCATAGCTTGGGAGAGGCCTTTTTTCTCCATCCCCATGCCATGCATCAATTGAAAAGAACCTGAAATAGCAGAAAATCAAGATGAAAAAATATGTTGATATTTGATAAGAAATTACAATTTCTCTGTAGACGTCTAGTTTACTAACAAGTATTATAAGCCTAAACTACTGTAACATTATCAGCAAATGTAGACCTAGATCTATGTCAAAAAAAGGAAGCTTCTGTCCATTTCCTTTCAATTTCTATTAGACCTGTCTAGACTAGACTCTTATTGATGAAATTTAGATATAGGTCTAGTAATATTGTTTTAAAAAAATGATTTTCTTGGGGGGGGGTGGTTCTGAAAATCATCATCGTCCTGTAGAAAATTATTGCACCAACAGCCACAACTACTAGCACTGCAGCTCAGGCAGAGGTGATACCAGACCGAAATTTCTGTCTCTTCGTTCGTTAGCCTCTGATTTGGGTAGGGTCGGCTCCTGAAAGAGAGGAGCCGATGTTATGTTTAAAAACAGGTTCATTGAAACTAACATGCAATTGAAATTAACATGCCACTTAGAAATGCACTGCAGCTGTTAAGGCACAGTTCATTGTTATTCATATTAGATGCATACACACAATGAATGTATGCAAGGTCCTCTGTTCACTACATTATACATGTAAAAGCACATGGATATTGAGTCTGGATTAAACTACCAAAGCAACCACACGTGTTTCTGAAGGCTCCATTTTGTTTGTCTCTATACTTGCATTAATTTAGCTTAATAGTTATTACTTTCCAACCCACAACACAACAGCCGACACTACCCAAATCAGAGGCTAACGAACGAAAGAGACTGTATGCTAGTCCACTTTTAGGCAACAGCGTCTCAAAAATCCACCATAAAAGTAGTTTCTACGTCTAGCAATGATAGTTTTAAGGTGGTGTTAAGGTGGTATATGCGTACGAAAGTACAATAGTGCCAAGAAAAAAATTACCCGGTAAGAAATTGCTCAATCTCAGGAAATGAAAATGTTAACCGACAATTATTTGCACGTATGGGACTGGTCTGCGAACACCATGAAACTTTACCAAGTTTCCCCAAAATGTATTCAGTTAAAAGCATTTTAGATTATCACCAGTACAGCAACATGAAAGTAACAAAAATACTTTATTAGCTGGTGTAACTTTCATGAGCGCTTATCCATACAAAAGAGTGTAAATTGTTATCAAATATAGAAATTCAAATGCAAAACTTACCGTTCACTCTCCGCGGACAGTCGATTTAACTAAAAAGTGACGTCACGCGAAGTTAGGCCGAACTATGACGTATTTAAACCTGCCCTCTGAGCGGCCTAAAGTTAGGCCGAACTATGACGTATTTAAGCCTGGCTTATCTTTAGACCACCTTCGAGAATAGCAAAAAAGATAGTCCATGGTTTAAACCAGGTTTAGGCCACTGATTTAACTTAGGCCGCTTTCGAGAATACCACCCATTGTGAATACTAAACATAAGATGATGTTATCAAGACTATATACAGTTTTTAGGTCGGCAATCTCCAATTTTCAAACCTTTTGATTTCGAGTTTAAAGAGAGATGTTACTCCTCTGACAGACACTAAAATAGCAAATGATTAATATTATTGTAATCTATGGCTTATCAGCTTTCCGTTGATATATTAATCTATTTCATTTTTTTTTTACCTCTGACACAATCTTCAATTGTTGCAGAGGGGCAAAATACTGAAAATAGGTTTTGCATAATTAATTTTAAACCCTCTTCAAACTGATGAATGATCAATTTTATTTAAAGACATCGATCTGTATCATGACCCAGTAAGAAGAAATTCCAACCATAAGAGGAGACAAATCAATCCTACTTTTTTAAGGCATTCTCATTGGTATAAAGTCAAGATAAGAAAATATAAAGAACCCTTCATGATGAGTGGGTACTTTATTACTTCTATACAGGAATATACAAGAAATAAGAGTGGGTGGGAAATCATGATTCCAATCAAAGATCGTCAATACTACTGGGCCAGAAGGGATTAGACCACACAGCAAGGTCACTGACAGGTGGTTATCGCATTAACTCAGCTCTCAACTAACATAAGAAATAGAGGATCATGGGGGACCGACAGGCATCGATATTACCTAGCTGTTATGTTATTCTCTCTTACAGGTTCCAGTGCCAAAGATGTGGGAAGGTGTATGAGGCCAAACAAGTCCACCAGCGCTATCGACTGGCCATTAAAGTGATGAACCAGTCCGTGTGCAGAGAGGTTACAGTGTTTGGATCATGCCTGGATCCTTTGTTCGGGATCGATGCTACAACATTCTCAAGGTAAAACCAACTGAAATGTCATAGGCTTGTATTCACAATGGCAAACTAAGTTAACCCTAAGTTAAGTTTAAAGGTATAGACCGGTTTTGGAAACGCCCCCCTCTAAAAAAATAAAATGGAAGCTCTTATTACCAATCATGTGAAAGAATATGTTTTGACTAAAACGTGATGATACAAATTTTGCCGGGAAATGGCCTATTATTGATATATTTAATCGCCTATTTTTCTTCTTTTCATCGGCTATTATCAGCTTTTTCTCCTCTGTACCATTCATAGTGACTGTTTCATCAGATGCATCCGATGTAAATCAGGCCAGTTTGAAAGGGGTATTAGTATGTATACAATGGTGAAGATAGTAATCTTGAAAGTTAAGCCAGAATTTTTTCATTATTTTGTTCTGTTTTTTTCCAGGTACACACAGCATGCAGTACACCATCAGACGGGCTGCAATGAGTTGGAACTTCTTCATGCCTCGGTTACAAAAACACTAGTAGGGCATCCCTTCTACTTTGGATTTAAGGCATCAGCCAACTTCTCTGTTCAGAGTAATGATTACACTGATTCATATGCATCTTTAGCAAATATTGTGGCTAGGGATCATGAAAATTTGGTTGCAGTGCAAATGACCTCCCCATTTCAGAAATGGAACTTTCCAACTATAGTACAGTACTTATCTAATATCATGTCCAATCGGAATAGCCAACTTGTTGAGAAGGGAGGGTATGTGCAATGCTGTAGTAAAGATGAGTGTGATATATGCCCTTTAATAGCTGTCCCTCAAAACAAGAATGAAGGGTTGAAATCTGTGAATGTCCAAGAAACAATTGACGACTCTGAAAAGAGAGAGGTAAATATGCCAGAAGGTATAGATTTGACTTATTTGACTTGCTCAAAAAAAGATGCAACACGTGATGAAGGTTCCCGAGAAACCTCTCTCTTAGGAGAGACATTTTTGAGCTGTAGTTTGCCTAGTTTTAGGCTAAGCTGTGATAAGAATTTGTCCGCAATAAACGGAGCCATCTGTAGTAGACTGTCCAACGGTTCTGATCATCCAAGGTATTCAAATCATAGTGATAGCAGTGGCACCAAACATTATGTAGAATCTGTGCATTGTGAAATGCACAAAGAGTCATGTAATCTGCCAATATGCACCATTGATAGCAACGTCGGCCATCAAGGAACTAGCATGCACAACGTACATGAATCAAAATCAGTCAAAGAATGTATTCCAAATGCTGCAAAAGATTGTGCAAATTTGTGTATCAAAGACGACCTACTAGTAGAAGGTTGTAGGAAGAGCAATCAGAAGCCAGGTAGTCGTGTGACCATTGTGAATAATGCTAAGGATGAATGTGCCATGAATAAACCTGAAGATAGTAGGCGGATGGAGAATATTGCTGTCGACACCTGTGGTATCGATGGTAGAAGCAGGGATGCAGGCATGACCATTGATTCAAGGAACAAGGGTCTTGAACAGGATGCAGTGGGCACCAATGATTCATCGATGGTTCAAGAATGCGAGCAGTACATGAACAAATGGTTGGAGGAGAACAGCTTTGATGGGTGGTCCTACCATGAACCCATTCAACATCTTGGTAAAACTCACAGAAGATCACCTTGCCTGGACAACAAGGCTGTCAACGTTGTCCCCTCTTGCAATGAAGAAGACAGAGAGGGTGATGAAGCCAACAGAACCTCTCAGCCAGACTTCTCTCGTGAAAGTACGTGTTATGAATTTCCTGAGGATCTACCCTTCTCAGAAGACCTGAATCAGTTCCTGCATGACGTAGAAGAGGAACATGCACAGTCGAAGGATAGGGAAGTCGGCAGGAGGAGACATCCAGCTCTAAAAGATAATACATGTATTAGCACCATTGGCAGTGATAAGGAGATAACAACAGTCTCAAAGTGTGAAAGGTCAAGTGCACCTAATGGTGAAACAGGAAGCACAGAAGAGAATTTCAGTTGTGCCAAGTTTTCCTATCACAGTGAAAGGACAGAGAGTGGAATAAACTCTAGCATGTGTAATACAGCTGGAACAAGTAGCTTGGTTAAAGGAGATACTGAAACTGACATGTGCTATGCAAAAGAAAGAAAGTGTAAAGAAAGTCCAGTGTGTGACACCCAGTGCAATACAGCGCAAGAAGAAGGAAAGGAACTTAAAAAGACACAGTTGATTAGGGATAAACTTGAAGATGTGAACAACAGAGGCAGGAAATGTGTGGATGAAAATGTGTGTGATGATGGCAGGGTCCTTTCAAAGACCTCCTTGCAAAATGAGAAAAGGTCATGTAACGGTTCCACTGTTAGAGAGATGGAATTAGACTCTGCCTGGAGTGAAGACTGCAGCCAAAGTCCGCTCCTCTTTTCCCAATCACAATCCCCCATCTTACCGGCAATGCCATCAAGACACCTCACATCTCAAAGGTATAGATCTCAAAATGGAGACAGATTATCTACGCCTGATATTGACAACTCACTGCCCGTCCAACACAGAGCAACTCCTCAATTGAGACTAGACTTCAATCTGAGCGGACAGAAACTGACCGTGAACAAGCCAAATGACCGAAACATCCAGGGGGAGAATTTCTGTGGAGATCTACAAAGTCCAGATCAAGGAACTCCATGTCTCTTCTCCCAAGCACAAGACGATCCAGTGATCCCTTCTCAGCACTCTTCAATCCCAGTCATCAGAAACTCCAGGCGAGCATTTCACAGCAGACAAAGAACAACTCCCCTTCGACAGCTGTTCATGCAGAGAGCCAGCTCCTGGAAAATGTCCAGCACACCCATGACAAGCAAGAAGAAAACCATTTTAGAAAGGTCATTCGAAAGCCCATTGTCATGTGCTACTCCAAGCCTTTTCTCATCAGAAAATAGTCCTGACGTTGGAGGTACATCATCTAATCTTGGTCAAGTGAATCGGTCAAAAGAGTATTCCCAGAGGGAAGCATCCATTATATCCAATAGTTTTGAATGCACACCAGACCTTTTTTAGAAGCTAAAATCTAAGTGAAATTTGATTACCCATTACCTCACCTAAAATAATACACAATGAGAGATTTAGCTCTCAAAAGCTCTAAAATAGCTCTGGTAAGAAATTGTACATTAAAGTCACTGTGATAAAATCTTGTTTGTTTATAGCAAAATCCCAAAAGTTATTTTCACACAGATGAACCTGTAAAAAAAAAAGGGGGGGGGGGTGTCAGGGAATAGGGTTATCATGGTACATGTACTTTTGAATTGGAAATTCAGACTGGTGAATCTTTCTCATTAATTGTGAGTTGTGACTCTTTCTCAGTTGAGTATTTCTTGTTCATGCATGTTCTTTCAAAAATCTTTTGAGTTTTCATTTTTGTCTAATCCGATTTGTCCATGTTATCATGTAGGCCCAGTAGGTAGTAGGCTGGTATTAAAGGGGAAGTCCACCCTAATTTCAAGTTGGTTTTAATAAAGGCAGAAAAATGAGAGGAAAAAAAATCAGCGAAAGTTTGAGCAATATTTGGAAAACTAATGTCTGATTTGGAATAGGAAAGTTATGAATATTTGAAATTGTCTTTAGTAGAACACAAGTCGGCATATACATATATATAAAGTTTTTTCAACGCAGGGCAAAATGGGAGGGGTTCTCGCAAGACACATCACAGAGCTGCCAATTTGCTTTGGTTGATCACACCTTTAAAAATTCATTACTCTATTATTTGTAAGCATGTTTTGCTAAAACTTTTGCTGACCTGTTTCTTTCATTTGTCTGCTTCTTTTAAAAACAATTCAGTATCAGGTATTAAGGGTGGACTTCCCCTTTAAGGACAATATTTTGAATGATATCTTAAATATTTGGGATGATATTTGGAATGATATTAAGGAAAGACAGTAAACCCCAATATAATCATCATCAACATTCATTTTACTAGTAACTTGTAATTTCTGAAGTTTGTTCATATCTCACAGCTGATAAAGTCACTTTGCTCATTTAAAAAAGAATTGATTTAACAATTTAAATTTGGGAGTCTAAACTTTATTGATTAGAGCTTCATATGATCTTTATACTTTAATGTTTTTATGTTTATTTTTTTATTTTTTTGGACTGTAACATGCTACAATTTACAAATGTATTAGATTTATACAACTCATTTGGTATCCAGGATGGTGGATTCAGAGGTGAAGTCATGATCAAAAAGTTTTGTACTTGTGTTTATATAGTAATGTGAGTGTCGTGGTCGAGTGGTTTATGGCGCTTGACTGGAAATACGAAGGTCGAGGTTTCGAATCCCGACACGGCACTAATATCCTTTGGCAAGATATTAACCTGCACTTGCTACTCTCCTCCCAGGTGTTAAATGGGTACCGGTAGGATGCGACTGTCATTGTTGGTCAAACAGTTTTTGAGCATCAAGTAACGCCTGGCTGGAATGCTCCCCAGGAAGTGGAGATTGTGCACACAGTGTGTGCGAGCAAGCCCTGTATCCATTGACCGGGGTAATAGTATATTTATAAAGCACTTAGAGACATAAGCGCTATATAAAAGCTATATATTATTATTATTATTAATGACACAAAAGAATAGTGAAATAGTACAAAACATTATTCTATATTGATGTGCTTATCAAAAATAAATACATTTTTTATACATTCATATTTTCTATAAAGCAATATTCCTTAAATATATTGTATTATACTTGTTCTACTTCATACCTATATAGTATGAATTTATATAAACTTATGACAGTACTAGTTATTGATTAAGAAGAAACAAATTTTCATTTGAAGAATTGATTAATAAAATGATATTGCCCCAAAAAAATCAATTGTTCTTCTCCACATTGTCATGTAAGTTGATGTATTTGGACAAGTACAATAGTCCCATTAAGACTTATGTATTCATACATGATTTTAATGCACGATAGAGCAGATAAAGGAGAGAGAGAGAGAGAGAGAGAGAGAGAGGGGGGGGGGGGAGTCAGAGCAAAAGAGATAGTCGGGGTGAGAGAATCAGATAGAGAGGGATATATATAGAGAGAGAGAGAGAGAGAGAGAGTGAAATAGATAGATAGAGAGAGAGAGAGAGAGAGTCAGAATGAGAGAGAGAGAGAGAGAGAGAGAGAGAGAGATAATTCTATAGGGGGGGGGGGGGACTGCCCTTAAGGCCCCCCATCAGTACGCCAGTGCAAGGGAGCATAATGAACGAGAGGGGCGAAGGTGACGGCAGTGACTACACTCCCTCACATGTTTTTGAAGTTTTGTTGTTTAAAAAAAATAGATTCAAATATCAGCCTGGTAAATACATAGACTATGTTGTAGTGACTCCTTACTGAAAAGAGCGAGCGGAATATTCATTTTTGTAGCACTGATACTCTAAAACTGGTAAACACACAGTGTAAGATGTGCTTACGTGATATCAACGGAATACAGATTTTCTACAATATTTACTTGTACAATTCGGATATGTTCTGTGCCTTGGTGGTTGTTATTTTACCTGACTGCTAAGAAAGCATAAATGCTTGTAAGTAAGCAACCAGACGGCCGACGGCTTTAGGTCCTCTCCGATGGACCTGATAATAGGGATTAATGCCTTACCAAAGGGCACTAGCGCATCGCCTTGGCTTCGAACCCGGGTCACCATATTACGAGACCACTGCTCTACCGATTATGATAGGGAGGTTAACGACCGAGCGAGATTATTTTTTGCATTTTATTATTCTAACCGCTGAACTCTTGGGCCCTCCAGAGCATAAGAGTGTGTTGCTGTGTTTAGTCAGTGATTTGCTATTCCTTTTTTTTTTTTTTTTTTTTTGGGGGGGGGGGGCACTTTTTCAAAATTACCGGGGGGGAGATCCCCCCTAAAAAATATTGAGAGGGGGACGTGTCCCCCACCCCCCCCCCCGGGATCGCCGCCCCTGATGGTTTCAAATGAAAGTACATGTACTCGATGAAATGGGGTAAGGCTAGTTGGGAGACATCCCCCCTCCCCCGATGGAGTACGTATACCGATTAAATGGGGACAGTGTCTATGACATATATTACAAATACAAGGTGTTTGTTTTAATCCTACGTACCCTATAAAATGATGATTACCTCTTTATCATTATATTCCCCTATTATACCATGGAGTTGGAATGGACTGATTATACCTAGAGTATATGGTATTAAACAGACAAGTCGATGGTGGTATTTGCATGCTTTGTCATTCATCGATCCTCTACCCATTCTCAAAGGGAAATCAAATCTTTCTAACTTTCTCCGGTGTAATGAGAGGGATAATTCCCCCCTCCTGATATAAATGATCTAATGCGTGATCTATGCATGGTTTTAAAATACCCGCATAATTACGACCCTCTTTAATATAACATCACAAAGAATCAGCCGACATAATATTTTCTTTGTCCAGGCATGCAAGGTTGTTTGAGGTTCGCAAACACCTCACATCCGTTCATCAGGCGCGTAGCCAGGGGGGGAGCGGTGGGGGCGGTCGCCCCCCCCAAAAAAAAAAACGCCGGCCAAAAAAAAAAAAAAAAAAGAGAAAGAGAAGAAAAAAAGTAAGACGACGTAGGAAGAAAAAGGGAAAGGAGTCGATAATTTAATGAAACGTCAAAGCTTCCGCGCTTCGCGCGGAACGGGGGGAAATTGAGTTCAAATTAAGTATTAAGAGTCGAGAACGGAACAAAGAATCGTCTTCTTTCTCTAATAATTTAATGAAACGTGAAAGCTTCCGCGCTTCGAAAGAGGGGGACTGAATACAGATAAGGATTAAGGGTCGGATAGGGAGGTTAACGACCGAGCGAGATTATTTTTTGCATTTTATTATTCTAACCGCTGAACTCTTGGGCCCTCCAGAGCATAAGAGTGTGTTGCTGTGTTTAGTCAGTATTTGCTATTCCTTTTTTTTTGGGGGGGGGGGGGCATTTTCAAAATTACCGGGGGGGAGATCCCCCCTAAAAAATATTGAGAGGGGGACGTGTCCCCACCCCCCCCCCCCCCCCCGGGATCGCCGCCCCTGATGGTTTCAAATGAAAGTACATGTACTCGATGAAATGGGGTAAGGCTAGTTGGGAGACATCCCCCCTCCCCCGATGGAGTACGTATACCGATTAAATGGGGACAGTGTCTATGACATATATTACAAATACAAGGTGTTTGTTTTAATCCTACGTACCCTATAAAATGATGATTACCTCTTTATCATTATATTCCCCTATTATACCATGGAGTTGGAATGGACTGATTATACCTAGAGTATATGGTATTAAACAGACAAGTCGACGGTGGTATTTGCATGCTTTGTCATTCATCGATCCTCCACCCATTCTCAAAGGGAAATCAAATCTTTCTAACTTTCTCCGGTGTAATGAGAGGGATAATTCCCCCCTCCTCATATAAATGATCTAATGCGTGATCTATGCATGGTTTTAAAATACCCGCATAATTACGACCCTCTTTAATATAACATCACAAAGAATCAGCCGACATAATATTTTCTTTGTCCAGGCATGCAAGGTTGTTTGAGGTTCGCAAACACCTCACATCCGTTCAATGACAAATGAGACTCTATCCTTTTCCTACACGCTCATTCGACATTTTGACTATAGACGACTGGCAAATATTATACAGGCCTAAGCTCGATCCCTAAGCTGCGAAACTATGTTCTCAAGGGTACCGTTTATCGTTATACTATGGCTTCTTGCTGCAATGCAAGGTAAGTTATAATCCGATTAGATTCTAATGTGTACTTCTTTCTCTTCAACTCATCCCTCCCTCTTCGACCCCCTCTCTCCCTTCTTTCTACCCTAGCTCTCTCATTCCCTCTTGGCACTTTGCAAACAATATATAACGAGTTTCATTCTTATCTGCTTATATCCTTCAGAACAAAGATATGTTGTTGTTTGGTATCATCGGCGTTTCATTCCTTTTTAGAATATTTACGCTTTTCACTTTAATTTTTTTTGTGGTAAATTCGTACTCTTCTAAAATCATAGTTTTTAATAATATAATCTCATATCCACTGGTCCATGAAAACCCCTCTTTGACGTATATATCCAATGAGCTTTTTGGTAGAAGAGGCGGTGGGAATGGGGGGGGGGGTAATGGTCACGGGAGTTTGTGGACATATCCCCACGGATCGCTTCATATACTATACCGCACACGGGCCTATCTATATAGGGCACAAACCTCAATTGAATTTTAAATTCCTTTAAATTTCTTTCTTGTGGTGTCTAGACCTGCCTAGCACCTGGTAATATATGCTAACCTTTTCCGATTTTTACTTCATTGTTTATCAATAGAATTCTAATTATACTCCATTTTTCTTCATAATTTAGGAATTTTTAAAATTATAATCGATACATTGTTCAAAAATTACTTGGACTTTAGAAAAATTCTTAGGAGATTATTGGAAATGGTATAAAGAACTCAAATATTCAACCATGCACGCATCGAAGATGGGACCAGCAAAATTATGTTATGAAATCAGATAACTTGTTATTCAGGTTTAAATGCGTTTAACGAGATTCCAATGTTATTCAATTTGTCGGTATGCCTACTTCCAATATTATAATGATTTTTTTTTTTTGCACAAAATATTCGAAGTTATATCATACGTTGAACAATTCTTGATAATTATGAATGTAGCCTAAGTTGTGCAACAGGGGGGGGGGGGGGGGGAGGATGATCCCTATTTCAAGAGTGTGGCAAATATAAAAGAGTAATACTTTGAAAACTTTATGATAGTTGGCCTCTGCATTTATCTTGATCATTTTACTTACCTCCATACTATTAAGTTTTCAATTATATATATGCATTTTTATATGTGTGTATTTCAGTTGTCACTCTTTATGTAAATCAATTATATTATATACTATTATTGTTATTTGAATGTTTTATATGTGATTTATCAATAAATGCAGAATCATCTGCTAAAAAGACAAGAACAACAATTACTGCAACCATTCAAGTAGTACAACCAAATATTTATTTTTCATGAACATGATGAATATATAGTACTTAAATTCCTCCCATTATACATTATATGTCGTTTGTAAAGATAGATGAAAATGTCATGAAGCACTTGTAAGACATTTTGACGTTATTATTCAGACTAATTCGCTCGTTATGGACAGTTACAGAAAGTGGCGACTGGCGAATAATATTTATCATCCTAAATGCCTGCCCTGCCTGCATGGCATAGACTGCATTCTGTTGTTATGGTTCATTCACAAAAAATATCTTTCATAATGTTGTATATCCTGGTCAATGGTATTCTTGAGTATGTTGCTTCATCTTTTGCGCTACTGACCCAGTTGATTGTCTGTTTTCATAGTAAATTACGGTGAATACAGATTATGAATATGAATATGGTAGATAAACTGGTGGGATAATCGTTAAAATTTGTGTGTACATTTAAAATTTACGATGTTTAAACTATATATCTTTTTGTTGTTGACAACAGAACTTGTAGGTGCTACTGCGACAAGACCCAACGTGTTATTCATTGTAATAGATGATCTACGACCATCACTTGGATGCTATGGGGGTCCCATCATATCACCGAACATCGACCAACTCGCAGCTCAATCTGCTGTCTTTACCAACGCTATGGTGCAGGTAAGCAATATTTTGGTTAATAAACTTAAACAAGGGGTGATATTCATTTACTTATTTATATTTATGATGATGATGATGATGACGAAGATATGATTACGATGATGACGACGATTTTGAATATGATGATGATGATGATGACGACGACGATTTGAATATGACGATGATGATGACGAAGATGATGACTACGAAGATGATGAGGACGACTTTGAATATGATGATGATGATGATAATGATGATGACGATTTTGATGATGGATGGTGATGATGACGATGATGATCGTATTTTCAATTTTTTTTAATTAAGCAAGCTGTGTGTGCCCCCAGCCGTACATCGTTCTTGACGGGGCGTCGTCCCGACACTACTCGGCTCTACGACTTCGGGTCTTACTGGAGGACACATGCAGGCAACTACACTACCATACCACAACACTTCAAAGAGAATGGCTACATCACGCTTTCGGTCGGAAAAGTTTTCCACCCAGGTTGGTGTTTTTCTTTCTCCCATCAGAACGATTAAAGTTATCAGCGAACAACATTGAATTCCCATGGTATGTCTCCTCCTCTCAGTTCCCTATTGATTGTGTTTAAGACAACAGCAAATAGAAATGGGTAGAGTGCAGAGTGTTAAACCAGGGAGGTGTTTCTCATATCACTGGTTAAACCATGGACCCTCGATGGTTAAAATACACTGAAAACAATTAAATTAAGTCTAATAGTTTTGTGACCATAGTCCTGTAGTTTTTTAAATGTTTGATCATATAAGAATTCCCAGTGGTATGTCACGAATCGGTCTTTTGTCTTCTTCTATAGGCCTATGTCTAGAGGTCGTAATCTGCGTGGAGAGGTCGTAAGTTCGAAAGTCAGATGATGAGGAACAGACAAAAAAAGAGGGGGGGGTCATTAGGTTTTGGGTGTACTGTTTTTGCTTAAAAACTTTCTTGAAATGAAAAAGAAAGGGGGAAGGGGTAATTAGCCTGGTCATGATTCTTCTTCCCCTCCTTTTTGGGGGCGGAGGGGGGGGGGGGGGTTGCCCGGGGTTATACCCCTGGAATCGCTACTGATATACATGTTGTTTGTAATCATAGGAATACCTAGTGGAAGTACTGATGACTTCCCATATAGTTGGACTCTACCTGCCTACCAGCAATCAACACAAAGCTTCGAAGATTCGAAGGTAATTTGGACAGCCTTGGATGACATCCTCTCAGAAAATGTTTTAAAAAAACTCTTGTCCACCAAACGAACTAACTGTTACACCCTCTGCATCTTTTTATTACTTCATTATATCCCTCTAGTTTATAGTATAATACGTAACTTCTATAATTCTTACTACCCTCTTCTTTCTGTCTCTTTCTCTTCATACTTGCCCCTCTAGTCTCTCTCACTTGCTCGCTCTTTATCTTCTCCCTCTATCTCTTTCCTCTCACCCCTCTTTGTCTGTCTGTCTGTCCGTCTCTCACCCTTACATTAATTTTCATCATCATGTTTAATTTTTCTCCTCACATTTATCACGTTTATTTCACATTAATTTTCATGATTATACTCAGAATTGTCCAATGCCATTAAAATGATAAATATTCCCTACTTAATATTTGGAGGAATTAAAGTTTCCACATAAGCAGAGGGAGAGAGGGAGGGAGAGAGAGAGAGAGAAAGAGGGGTGGGATGAATTTTAGCTCTTCATACTCTCTCTCTCTCTCTCTATTTCTGCATCCGTCCTTTTGTAAACCAGGTGTGCCCCGGCAATGACGGTAACCTATACAACAATGTGATGTGCCCTATCGATGTGGATAAGATGCCCGACAAAACACTTCCCGACCTACAGACACTCGAGACCGCCGAGAATCTCATCAAGATCCTCTCTCCAAAACAAAAACATGACGTCACAAAGCGTGATGATGCCTTTCATCCGGGGCTGGAAGATGCTCTCCACGGAAGGGAAGGTCGAGGAAAGAGAGCTCCTGTAGTGAGACTACCCTTCTTTCTAGCCGTCGGGTTTCGGAAGCCGCACATCCCGTGGAAGTATCCGAAGGAGTACAAAGGCCTGTATCCGCTCGACTCGGTAGAAATCGCTCCTGACCCGAACATTCCCGACGAGCTGCCGAACGTGGCGCAGGTCGTTTTCCAACAGCTGAGACTACGGGATGACATCAAAGCGATGAATCTCAGTTTTCCGGTCGGCACCATTCCTTTGAAATATCATGTATGTTTGAAGTTTGAATGTTCAACGTTCCCCCTTCTTCCTCTTCTTCATCTTCTCTTCCACCTCCTTCTTCTTCTTCTTCTTCTTCTTCGTCTTCTTCTTCTTTTTTTTTAAAGTAAGTGCTCGCACTCTCCCCCCCCCCCCCCGCTCACTGAGCGAAATATTGGTCATTTTCGGGGGCAAATACGAACAAAAATAATGCTCACTACCCCCCCCCCCCCCACTGAGCGAAATATTGGTCGGCGCGATTTTCAAATTTTAGGCCCCCCCCCCCCCCCCCTATCGGCAAATCCTGGATCCGCCATTGGCGTGCGTCAGAGGAAATGTAGTGTGCATGGTGCTTTTTGAAGCTAAAATTCTATCTTGCTTTACTTTCTCTTTTGAACATAATATTATAAACAAACCATCAATCCATATGTGCAATTAGGATTCGTTAGTGTGTTGAAGGTTGTAATCATATAATTATTAATTATGCAACGAGGTTTTTTTTAACGACAGCCTTCATTATTCTATGCAGTTCTTCTCTCAACTGTATCGGCAACATTTATAAAACATATTTCTTATACGTCGTGTAGAAAAAGACTCAGTATTGTGACGTAAACATGTTATATGTACATTGGCAATAATATTGTTTTCAAACTCATGGTTTTACCTTTGGCAGGCTTCGCTAAGGCAGAGCTACTATGCAGCCACAACCTATACGGACTACCTGGTGGGAAGGCTTCTCCAAGCACTTGAAGACGGGGGTTACGCCGATAATACAATCATCTCACTCGCAGGGGACCATGGTAAGCACGACCTAATGGGCCTCTTTAGTGTGGACCTACTATACACTCTAAAAGAAAGTTTAGTAAATATTTCCACAACATATACCCGATTATTGGATAGAGGGAAGATTTAGGTAGAATATAACCTAATTTGGGTAGAATTATTGTGTATTCTAACTAACACATGGCATGCGCCTTTTTGTATCCGATAATGGTAATTAAAAAAAGCTACCGCACTCATTTGTATAAGTTTTAAGAGCAGGGGCGGATCTAGGGGGTGTTTCGGCGGTTTAACCCCCCCCCCCCCCCCCCCCTCTTGGGCGGCCAAGTGAAAAAAAAAAATTAAAACAGTAAAACGGCGCTATTTTTTGATTTGTTGTTGTTGTTGTGGGTCAACCCCCCTCCCTCTTGGAAAAAAGCTAGATCTGCCCCTGGAGAGTGTATAAAGCTATGGGTGATGTTATCCCACCTACGCATCACTGTTGCAATAAACCTGTAAATTGTTAATTATCAATTTTCTATCTCATGTAAAACAAATGACAATTTTATATCATCAATGAAACTGTAAATCGTATTTAAATATACACAATATTTGTTAAGTGTTCTATATATTTTAATGTGTTATCAATGCAATGTTATGCCATGTACTTTTTACTCTGTAAATTGAACAATTTCAGCTTTTAGCTGCATGTCCGATGATTTTTATCTTAATAAACCAATACAATACAATACAATATACCAAGTAAATGATCAAAAAGAATCATGACTTGTGACGTGACCTGGGCCACTTTCCTTGCTAGGTGGATGGAATATTAGAAAATTAAAGCCATCAAGTGTGACGAAGGTGTGGGAGGGGGTCGTATCATCTGGCAATGTTGCCCCTTCCCCTTAAAAAATGTTCGTTTATCTCCCCTTCATTTTTTTGTTGTTGTTTTGTTGGGGGGGGGGGGGCACGTGTCTCATTCACCCTCCTTCATGATGGATCCTATAAACTGGCTTGTTTGTTTTGAACCGATGATCGCGGCGTTAGACGCAGAATTTTTCCTGTGTCTGAGGGCGAATTTCGGTGTGCAACCAATCTTAGTTATTAATTAGAATTACTCCACTGTGTTCATTCTGTTTCTTTCAGGTTGGCAGCTGGGAGATCACGGCGAATGGAGCAAGTTCTCTAACTTCCAGCTGGCCACGAGAGCGCCGCTGATGGTTCACGTGCCAGAGGTCACCGACCGGAAGTCTTCCACTACGAGGAAGTTTCCTCTCATCGACCCGCTGTCACCTAGTTTTCAGGGTCATCTGAAGGAAGATGGAATAAACGAGGTCGATTCGAGAGTTGGCGAAATATTCTCCACACTACAAAGTCACCAGAGTAAAAATGAAATTGATTCTAGGGTCGATGACAGCTATTTGAGATTTTCACATGACCAGACGGATAATGAAGTGGTCGAATCGAGGAAATCTCGGGGATTGAAAACGAAAGGGAGAAAGGCACAATCAGAGAACGTCCACCAGATTGATGAGTTTGTAGAGCTTGTTGATTTGTTTCCGACTCTTGCCGAGCTGACAGGTCTCCCAGTGCCACCCGTGTGCCCGCCGAACCCTTTTAACGTGACCTTCTGCTCCGAAGGCTACAGCTTCGCGCCACTGATCCAATGTGCAGAATGCCTGAACAGCAGCGCACGCCGCGGAGACTGCCGCGGTACTACACCGCGGGACATCGTCCGGTGGAAAAATGCCACGTTCAGTCAGTACCCTAGGCCTAGTGTAACGCCGGATAAAAATACCGACTTACCGGACCTGGACCTCATCACTATCATGGGCTACTCAATGCGGACAAACCGGTACCACTACACGGAATGGATCGGTTTTAATCACACCACGTTCCAAGGGGACTGGTCAGACGTGAAAGCTAGAGAGCTGTACCTGAACGACTCGGATCCACGTCAAGATAATAACGTTGCTAATGAGGAATGTTATCGCAGTTTGGTGAGAAAGTTAAGCCATCAGTTGCAAAGGGGATGGAGAGATAGCCTTCCAGTCTTTAAGACTAGAACCTAGAAGTTATAAGTGAAGTAAATTCCATGTATGTTACTACTTATTAAAAGGGTCGTTTTTCAAGTCTTTCCCAGTAGAAAACCGCAGTGATCCCCACCCCCGATCTGGCTACAGATGCGGTTCTAGGACACCTACCCCTGGACATCCACCCCAGATAACCACCCCAAGTTAACTACCCCCTAGGACAACTACCCCTTTAGGGCAACTACCCCCCTAGGGCAACCACCCTCTAGGACGACTACCCCCGGGACAACTACCCCCGGACAACTACCCCCGAGACGACTACCCTAGGACAACTAACCCCTAGGACAACTACCCTCGGACAACTATCTCCCAGACGAATACCCCCTACGACAACTACCCTCAGACAACTACCCCCAGACAACTACCCCCTACGATAATCATCCTATAGGACAACTACCGCCGAACAACTATCCTAGAGGGTATGTCCGGGGGCTGTTGTCTGGGGGTAGTTGTCCTAGGGGGTAGTTGTCCAGGGGTAGTTGTCCAGGGGCTAGTTGTCCAGGGGGTAGTTGTGATGATGATGACGATGATGAAAAGCATTTGTATGGCGCCATATATCTGTTTAAAAAAACATTGAAAGGCGCGAGCTCCTCCAATATAGCATTTAGATGTCTGAAGGAAGAAGTGGTTGTCAATTTTGCGAATAGATGATGGGAGAGAATTCCACAGGCGAGGGGCAATAGAAGAAAATGCCCGGTCTCCATATCCCTTGAGATGAGTAATGGGCATCTGCAGTTGTCAGGTAGTTGTCCCGGGGGTAGTCGTCAGAGAGAGTGGTTGCCCTAGGCCTAGGGGGGTAGTCTTCGTCACACATGTCTACCGCCTTTGGTTAAGGTACATTCCACCCCTTCCCTTTGTCAATTTGGATACGCAATTTCCAGGGGCGGATCTAGTGGGGTTTCGGCGGTTTACCCCCCCCCCCCCCCCTTGGACGGCCAAGTGAAGAAAACAAAAAAGGGAGATAAGAAAAAAAAGGGGGAAAAGAAGAAGAAAAAAATAGTAAAACAGTAAATGGCGAGATTTTAGGGAAATCCTGGATCCGCCACTGGGTCAACCTCCCCCCCCCCCCCCCCCCTGGCAAAAAGCTAGATCCGCCCCTGATTTCTATTCCTGGGCGCTGGTCAGCTACAGCCTTCCTGCCTGTAGTTTATCAGATAGGCCTATATCTTTATTTTGGCAAAGGTCTAAATTTTGTGCAAGAAAATGTAATCTTTCAGAGCCATAGTTCAAGAAATGCAAATACAGGAATTTTCTTAACTGGGCGTGACAACGAAGCGAGACACTGTGTAAATTACTCACCAACACCCTAGCTACCACTATACCCCCCGCACAGAGTGTGGCGATGACCAAACCCTTGCTCATATAGCCACACGACGGAGGTAGCAATATAGGATCTCATAATTAATTGTTTGCCTATACCACGTTTATGCGCCAAGAAACTTTTATCTTCCAGGTACATGTACACCAGTACCTGTAGCGAAGCATGGTTTAAGCCACTGATTGATTAACAACTTGATTCGTCACCATGCATAACTATGAATAAACGAAACAATATTATTACGTTATTATATATTTTGCTGTTCATTCTATATTCTTTAAGAAATAAAAGACAAATAAGTGAAGAACGATTGGCAGTACGCGTGTCCGTGTGTGTGTGTGTGGGTCCGTGTGCGTAAACGTGAGGAAAAGAACTTGGCAATCAAGGAAGGCAGGTTGCATTTACAAAAAAGGGGGAAGAATTAGAAGTGAATATGAATGTGAGCATGTGGCCTTGCTGTGGTGCGTCAGTGTGTGCAGGGGCGAAGATCCCGGGGGACGGATGGGGGAGGGGGGAAAATACATCCCCTCTCAATTTTTGTAACGAAAATTTGAAAAGTGCCCCCCCAAAATGTATAGCGTATACTGATTAAGACTACAACACACTTTTAAGCTCTAGAGGGCCCAAGAGTGCGCGTTTAGACAGATAAAAATGCAAAAATCTTCTCGCTCGGGAGATAATCCCTCGCATATATCCTTCAAAATGTACAAGTATATATTGTAGAAAAGTGAAGCGTGAAAAAAGTATATTGATTGTATTTTTTTTACTATAGTTTTGCTAAGGAATGTAAGTTTTTTTTTTTAATACAACAAAACTTTTAAAACCTGTGAGGGGGAAGTCACTTCCGTCACATTTATCCCTCTCGTTCACTATGCTCCCTCGCACTGGCGTACTGATGGGGAGGGGGTGGAGGGCAATTGCCCTCCCCCATGAAATTCGAACGTGATTTATTTCTAATCCGATACCAGTGATTTACAAATGTTGCTGGATTTCCATGATTTTTCCTTGAGCTTTCGGGGGCTCTGCTCCCTGGACCCTACCAAGGGCCCTAAGGCGGACCCCTGGTTGCTTATCTGACCGTAACTAAATGACTAAAACCCCTAACCTTCCGGGGCTCTGCCCCCCTGGACCCCACCAAAGGCCCTAAGGCGGCTCCTGGATGCTCATTTGATCGTTATTTAATACATAAAACCCCTGAGCTTCTAGGGGTTCCGCCCCCTTGGCTCAATTCCAATTAGTGACCTAGCACGCCAGTGCCAGAAATAAGGTATCAAAATATGCTCATCTGACCGTAATTAAATGCCTAAAACCCTGAGCATTCGGGGCTCCTCCCCCTGGACCCAACACCAATTAAAGCTCCATTTGCTTCGCTCGTAAATACTTTAGCCCCCCCCCCCCCCCCACTTTGAAAAAAGTTCCTCGAGGCCTGCATGTTACATGTAAGAGTGGTGGTGATGTGGATTTTTTTTTCCTGCCCCCCCCCCAAAAAAAAAAGTTTTTGCTCACTACGTACGCCACTGCATGCTCCCTCGTCCCTCGCATTTCGTCCCCCCGGTCATGAAAAGAAATCGCCGCCTCTGAGTGTGTGTGTGTGTTTGTGTGTGTGTGTGGGGGGGGGGTATTCTTGCGTATTGTGTTGCATTAGTATACGTTTGAGGATGAGTGAGATGCATTACGTGATGTGAGGTAGGAAAAGCCATAATTTGTCCTACCTAGCAACAATTTATGTATGCAATTCGCATTTTCACTATTAAATCTACAAGTATTCGTAACAGATGGATGAACTAATTTGTAACGAGGTGCTTAAGAAAGATATTTGCATTGAATTGGATTGCATTACGAAAATTGTCTATTGACAATGACATCTTGATATTATGTTCGACCATCTTTGTATCGGCTTTATTTTGTTCGTGTTTTATATAACTCATTCTAATTCAAAGTGATATCTTTTATTCCAGAATATTTTTTAAATTTCTTTTTGCAAAATGATCAAATAATGTTAGAAAAAGGCATCAATTCTATAAAGCTTGTGTCAAGGTAGGTGATGATGATGAATCACAGCATTTGTATGGCGCCATATATCTGTTTCATAAAACATTCAAAGGCGCGATCTAATTCTCCAATAAAGCTAGCATTTAAATGTCTGAAGGAAGATGTGAGTTTTGAGTGAAGCTTTGATCTGAAGTGGTCCAGGTTGTCAATTTCGCGAATTGATTATGGGAGGGAACTCTAGGCGAGGAGCAATAGAGGAAAATGCCCGGTCTCCATATCCCTTGAGATGAGTAATGGGCAACTGGAGAGTGAGGCCAGATGAGCGAAGTCCAGGGCGAAGATGACGCTATATGTGACAATATTTGGGGTCGATTATGAGTACAAGTGCTATCTCCGAACTAGTCTATCGAAGCACTTCCTGGTTTACCAATGTTCTAGATAGACAGGATATCAGGATCAGCAGGCTCATCACCGTGTGTTACAATACACAACTGAACAAGCAATGTAAGGACGTAGTGCATATATATCTTTACCGAACTGCATGAGGCTACCATTTCGTTTAAAATAAAGATGGCTTGGACGTGCTGTAGAAATATTTTGATAGCCGTTGCTTGGTCAATTTTCACGCCACTCTGCATTCAAACAACATTCGGTGAGAGTGCTTGATTCTGCTTATTTTTTATATAAATATTGCTGTTCATTCTGTACTTGATGAGTGAATTGCAGCTTTGTTTGTTTCTTTCTTTGTTACTGAGTGTATTTTGATAACTGTCTTCAGGTCTCCACGTCTACACGTAGAGTTTGCTTAGTCAGTGCATGATTTGTGTAATATATTCCACCTAGGGAGAAATATGCTCACATCAGCTTACATTGGTATTTATTCCCATATGTTAACCAACAGGGCTTCATGCAAGACCGGATCACTAACACTATGAACATGACTGACAAAGAAAGCGGACAAAATATACAGTTCCTCAGGGAGACAAAGAAACATCCCTTCACTGCTATTATGTAGGAATGTGTAGAACAGGTGTCCATGCATATTCACCTTTTTACATAATAGCAGTGAAGGGATGTTTCTTTGTCTACCCGAGGAACTGTATATCTAACCTTTCCTTGTATTTTTTTTTTTTGGGGGGGGGGGTGAACGTATACTCTTTGATGAGTGGTGGAATAGCCCCAATAGCAGCCATGATTCTTGATTTCTGATGCTTTGAATAATCATGTAGAAAACGAAGGCAAAGCAATCTGATGCCGCTAGGCTGAGTTGAAATGTATACAGGGAGTTAGAATTCGCCTCTCACATACTTCCGGATAAAAAGTTCTTATTTTAGTAGAGGTCAAATCTATTTTCCTTTTCAAAGTTAATTACAATTACTAAAGAGGTCAGTCAGAGAAGAAGGTGGGTGGGGGGGGGGGGGGGGTCCGCACAAAACTATGCCAACATTTTTGTTACATATAGAGACATTGATTCTCCTACCTAGCAACAACTAAGATATGCAGTTCACATTCTGAAATACGATATTGAAAAACAATTATTCCTACCAGATGAAAGAAATAATTTGTATCGTTAAATGTGATTACAGTACGAAAATTGCCTTTTGTTGCAGCGTCACTACTAGGGAAGATCAATACGTTCTGTCACAATGGGCGCCCCATGTGCATTTATTCATATGCCCCCACAGTCAAAAAAGTGGGGGGGGGGGGGCAAAACGCATTTTTGCCCCCCAAAACGCCCCCCCCCCCCTCCAAAAAAAAGAACAAAAGCAGTAAAGGAGTAAAGATGGTTTGTATTTTTAACCCAAACGAACATAACAATAATAAAAACCTGAATTAAATCATACAAAATTCCATTCAAAGAAAAGGAAAGTTC